TCCAAATATTATACAAAGAACAGACTACTCCATGGGTTATAAACACTACAAAGACTTCACAAAATATAATGAAATTTTGAGATTCATAAAAAAACAAACAGCTACTGAAACAAAGAACTTAAATAAAAAATGATATAGAAGTCTATTTAGCCTACTCAAAAAATATTGACTTCTAAAATAAAGCACAGCAGGTAGAGATCCTTCATGGTTTACAATCACTCAGATCACTAGAAACATACAGAAAATATTTTTGGTAATTTTTCTTCTTAATAGCAGGAAAATCCCCATTTCTTCACAACAATAATGAGATAGATGGCATGATAGGTAAAAGCAATTTCAAAAACAAATTCTATTTCAAAGAAAAGCCTAAAGGCTCAGATTTTCAGCTATACAAATCCCTTACTTGAAGCTTTAAAAATCTGAGGCATCTACCATCCTTTGTGTTAATATTAAGAAGTAACACAGTCAAGCCTCATTTCTATCAGAAAATATATGCTTGATTGAAAGAATATTAAGCATCTAAAATGTGGATACTGATAAAATAAAGGTAATATATAGGTCAACTCTGTCACTGGTGGGGAGCTCTCTGTGTCCCCACTAGTTGCCAGTGAAAGTGGGTGGGCTTCTTCTGGTGTCTCAAGAAAAAGAATTTTTCTGAGACTCGCATGGGAGAATGAGTGATATTTATCTGCATGGAAAGTTTTATTTCTGTGGAATTAAACCCTTGAGTTTCCAAGGTCCCATCTCCCTTTGTTCCATCAAGGAAAAAGTCCAGCTGTTTCTTCAGCAGAGCTAGGATTAAAGCTGTTGCCTGGAGTTTCCACTCTGTATTTGCACAGTCCAGTCCAGCATGAGGCTAGTTTAGCTTGTGTTCCCAGCTATAGTCCATTGCATGTGAGGTGTCACATGGCTATGGAGGGAACACTCAAGAGTGCAAGGAAGCAAGAACAATGCCAGAGGAACAAAAGAGAGAGAATTCCTTTGTCTGGGGATCATGTATTCCCAAATTTTTGTCGGCTTGCAGTGGCTTCATCCCCTAGCCAATTATCTTTGTTCCAGGTTAGATTGACAGGCAAGCACCTTCACTATGTCACCCTGACTTCACTGCTGCACATGTGCCCAGCTTCCCCTTTGTTTGATCCCTTTCCCCAGTGATCTGCAGGGAATGGACTGGTGGTTCCCTGGGGAGTGTAAAGTTGCAGCTTCCTGGCGAAGCTGCCCAGATGACCATGCTCATAATGTCTGGCCTCCCCTTCACTCCTTTCCTACTATCAATATTAGCTAGCTAGTTATGACGATAACAATCAAATACATATTGAATTTAATAAATACACCAAAGTATTTTTTTAAAGATCTAAAGACAAAAAAATGTTTTAAATAATTTAATGTTTGTTGATTTCTCCTATTTCTTAGATATTGAGGTAGGAATTTTCATATACATTATGTAATTTCATTCTCTCAACAACCATATGGGATAAGGATTATTATCCTCCTTTTACAAATGAGAAAACTAAGGACCAGTGATTTGCCTAAGGACATTTGCTTGTATAAAATGTAATCAGAAATCCAATTCAAATTTTCTGATCCCCAGTTTAATTCTCTTGCTTTCCCTGTACCATCGTCACTTCCAAAACTCAAGTACTCTAAACCTTAGCTCTCATAAGGTGTACCAATCATCTTATCTGGGAGAGGCAACAGTTCTGAGAAAAGAAAAATTCTTCAGGTTACCAAAATGACTCACTGTGCTTAATCTGATGTGATTACCTAATCCGATTTAAACGCTTTGGTTCATGCTATCTACCCCCTTAGAAAACTTATCTTTAGATATACTGCTTTCTGTAAAACCTAACTCAAGAATCACCTCCTCCATGAAAGTTTCCCTGATTAAATGACCTGCTCCACTCTCCCTAAGAGAACATCCTTCTTTATCATCTCACTGCTTGTATCTACTTTGAAATACATTATCACATTGTCCTCTTTGTTCTCCAATCTGGAACTACATTTTTTCATTCAATAACTAGTAAGCATTTTCAGGGTCAATGATGAGAAGAACAGGCAAGGTTCTTGCTATCACGGACAGTTTACATTGTTTGCAACTTTAACAAAGGTAAAAACAACACAGGGTATAAAGGGTATGACGTTCCAGGACAAGGATTCCTTCCCTACAAGGTATCTGAAGAAAGCCTGAAAACTTGGTAACATTTTTCAGGGAGAAAAATATCCCATCTATCATGTCTTCCAGATGAGACCCTCAACTTCATGCCTTTAAGAAGATATCTGAGGGGGTGGGGACCAAGGTGAATGGAAGGAGAGATCTAAAAATCTCTCAGGGGTTTCCCACATACTGACATGAAATCTTCACACATTAGTCCAGACATCTCTTTCTGTGACCCAATTACAAGGAGACTAAAGGGGTGGGCAAAAGTAGGTCTACAGTTGTAATACAAATAAATACTATAATAATAAAAATAAAGAATAAACTCTGTTTCCCGTACTCACAACTGTAAACCTACTTTTGTCCACTGCTGTGTACTTCAGCCACAACTGCTACAATCAACCAACCCCATCAATCTCCTTGCACATAGCCACCTTCATTAATGAAGTACTTAGAGGCTTTTTTATGCAACTTGTATTTATGCATTATTTGTAGGTCATACTCCTAAGAATAAGGTACAGTCTATGTCTTCTACTTTTGAATCTCCTGATGCTCAGAGATCATTGCTACAAATGTGTTCAGCTTTAGATAATATAAATATTAAAATAGAATTCTTCAGGTGTTGCTATTAGGATAAGAATTTTCCAAAATAACATTAGGAAGCTACATTTAAGTATCAATTCTTTATTTTCTCCTTCATGCTTCAATACAAGTAACCTGTTCTCGAAGAATTATTTATAAATAAACCAAATTTAAATGTACTAAGAGCACTCCCTAGTAAAAGAAATTATACACTCTGTCCTTTTAAAAAAGATCCTTTTGTAATGCAGATTTTATAAATTCATAATTGTATCACTTTCTCTTAAATCAAAACAAATGAAAATATAACTGCATTACACAGAATTGTGTATTTCTTTTTTTTTTTTTATGGCTTACGTACATTTTATTAGTTTTCTTTAGAACTGCATATTTCTCCCCAAAGTATACTTTAACATTTTTTCATTCAAAATGAGTCAAAAAACTAGATACTGCCAGATTTCTAGATGCCATAAATGTGTTCTAAGAAAACTTGATCAGCCCTGGCTGGGTAGCTCAGTAGATTAGAGTGTTGTCCTGATGTGCCAAGGTTGCAGTTTCGATCCCCATTAAGGTCACATACAAGGAGCAACCAATGAATGCATAAATAAGTGGAACAATAAATCAATGTTTCTCTCTCTCTCTCTCAAAATCAATAAGTATTTTTTTAAAAGAAACATATCTGATTGCCTCTAAAATGTAATAACATTCTAACTGAAAAAATATAGCATCTTTTCACAGATCACAGATACAATAAATATTGATTCAATTGAAGAGAAATAAACCATGACCATTTTTTAATTAAACAGGCATTTCTAAGCACCTGTGTACAATGCATTGTGGCTCAAACGGTTCACATGGAATTTGACCACAAGGACTTAATCTCCATAATTAAAGAGACCTAAAATGTAGTTCTTATGTTTCATCTATTCCCTTTCCCAATGCTCTGAATAAGCATATTGTAGTCATTCCACACATAGTTGCTATCAAAAAAAGAGGTAACAAATACTTGAAATTAGTTGTACTTTCAATAGAGGACAAACTATATGTCCTTATTCTTCCTTCCCCAACCTGTTTTACAAAACTAGCATGATCTTAGTAATTTCATTCCAAAACAGGTTCTAGCAAGCATAGAAACTGACCAGTCTCTCAGTATGATCAGTTTAGATGATGCCTGATGGGATGCAAAAACCCTAATGAGCAAATCACTCATGTTCCTCCCCAATCCTTGCTCTCCTTGGGGTCCTAAAAAGTCAAAAAATGGTTTTAAGTTAATATTTTAAAAGACGCAAAAAAGCCTTCATTTCAGGCTAAGTTTCAGGGGAAGTTAAAAAACACTAATAATCCTCCCATACACAGGGCATTCTAATACTACTCAGATGTCATTTAAGTCAGCATCAAAAAGGCAAAGACTTCATCAAATTACGTATTTAAAGCAAATATGCTTATATCAGAAAAATTTTCTAATCTGTTTAAGTAGTAACCCAAGTTACCTATAATATTTCAGAAAGCATACAGATAAAATGAAATTAGGTATGTTCCTCAGCGCAGATCTCTCTCAGAAAGTGTTAAATGACTTTTGTGAATGGAAAATCTGCATATACAGTTGCTTCGCCTCGGCCGGTCTTGAGGGGGTGTCTCGAACCAAAAACCACACTCCGGTGCGAAGCTCCTTGGAACCTGACTCCACTCTAGAGAATGGGCTTTGAAACAAACTTTAAATTGACAAGTACAGCAACGGCTTTGCCTTCCTCTTACGTTACAAGGAGGCCACAGGAACTGAGGTTTAGAGGAACGACACCGTGTGATCCGGCTCCGCCGGGGCGGGGGCCGCCTGCGGCGCGCGGCACAGCCTCCACCGGGGCTGTCACAGGAAAGCGCGAGCGTCGCCTTAACCGCGCGAAGTGACAGCGCCAGCGCTCCCCGGCGCGGGGGCTTCCGGCGAGACCCCGCCGGCCGCCAAACTCCGGGAGGAGGCGGGCGTTCCGGGCGGCCACGATGCTCGCACCTGCCCCCAGCCCCCAGCCCCCGCCGCGGCTCTGTAAGGATTGCAGACGCACCCACGGTGGGCCCCGAAACACTCCACCCGCGCCAGCCTTTGGAATGCCCCCACTCCCAAAGGGGACAAAGGAGCCAAAGAGGAACTCCCCGGCGCGGGGTGCCCGGAGTCCCCGCCGGCCCGAGCTCCGAACGTCAGGCTACGGAGGTGCAGTCGCCGTAGGGGTGCGAACCCACCGCCCCCCAACTCAGGCACCCACGCGACACTCACCGGTGCGGAGCCCCCGGATTGGCGGGGCGCAAGGGGCCGGTTCTTCTGGGGCCCTGCACGCGTCCGGTCCGACCTCAACTTCTCTCGGCCACTGTGGCCGGCGGCAGCTGGGAAGAGCGCCCGGACCAAGGGCTCGGTCTCGACACCGCGGAGGCGCCGCCCGCACGACCCTCAGGGGGCGGCGACGCCGGCCCCGCAGTCCACCGGCCCGGGCGGGCCCCCACCTTCCCTCCGGCTGTGGGGAACCCGCGGCGGCTCCTGCCGCGGCGAAAGCTAACGCTGCAGCCGCTGGG